CCAGCCACTCCTCTCCATGCCTGTAGCGCTGGAGGATAATATACTATACAAAGTAAAATGTTTTAAAATTGCCTATCAGCACAAGACACCCAGTTTATGCCCTTAATCTCCCAGTAAGCTGCAACTGGACGGTGCTGAGAAAGACACTGGTGTGCATAGAAGTTAGGATTTACCCTCCTTGCAAAGTGATTAATACCTGTGTGGGATAAGGGACTTATCAGTGGGTAAAGTGCAGCTTTGGTGCTTAATTCTTAGGTCAGCTCTGAATTAAGACATTATTTTTAATAAGTCATTTTTCTTACTTGTTTGGGATTTGTTGAGAAGCTGCCTTTGCCAATGCTGACAGGGTCGCAATCGAGAAAAACTTATCTACGCAGTTGCAGATAAGCAGGCACTTCTTTATTGCAGCGCTGGGGAGACACGGAGGATAGCTCCTCTAATTGTGCTCTGACACCCATACATTTTCACAGCCTATGTATACGTTTTTAACAAAGCGAAATCATACCAGCTTGCATAAGATGGTCACCTTTTACTCTGCCCCTCGCCTTGACTGGATCCCCACTATCACACCACATAAGACATTGGATTACCCCTGTATGATTTTGACATAGAGAAAAGAAAAGTTCTGGCCTCTTCTTCTCGTACCTTTCCAAGCACCTGTACACACATATCCCGCTCCCTTTTTAACTTTGTAGAGGTCAAAGTGTTCTTTTAATTGTGCAGCTGAAACAAATGCCTACTTTAATCAGCCAGAATTTTCTCATGACTACAACATTACTGTTAAAATAATTTCGTAGAATCATAGAATGGTTTAGGTTGGAAGGGGCCTTAGAGATCAGTTTGCCAAATTATTTCTCGATAGTGAAGAGAAGAGAACAGTGGCCTTGTATAGAGTAGGGGGGAAATCTATTGGGTAGTATTTAAATCAGTCAGAAATGGGTTATTTTACCCATAAATCTGTATTTAAAAAAAAAACAACAACAAAAAAAACCCCAAAAAACCAAAACCGCACACCAACCACAGAGACTTACTCCGTTCCTGAGATAACGGATGACTGAACAGTGGTTTTGTTCTCACCTGGACTGGTAAAACAGTGTTCTTCCTTCTGCAACATTTTAGGACCCAGCACAGTCCTCAGGTTTTCACCCGTCAGCATCCGTTGTCGCCGTGGGGACGCTGACCGGCAGGTGAGACGCCTTGGGCACCCACCAGCTCTTCATGGCTTTCCCAGCTCCCGTCCAAGTTCACGTTCGAGGCTTTAACAGAAATTTGGTGCATGTTGTGCTGCACCAGACACGGTGTAAAAATGCATCCGAAGGGATTTGTTCTGCCTGGAGAGCGTAAGGCGTAAACAAGACCATTTTAAACTGGTTTAAATGATAATATCTCCATTTTATAGGGCAGAGGGAGCCCCTGGTCACTTAGGGGTCAGTGGCAGCCCCTGGTTGTGTGTCACAGAGGACAGAGTCCCTGCACCACAGCTCTGTCCTCTCCTCTAATGTCACTTGAGGGCAGACTTTGCTGCTCCTGTTGACAGCAGCTGCATTTAACAGCGAACATACAGAATAGGATATGAGCCAAGATTATTTAGGGTTGTGTATCAATCCTACACAAAGGGTTGGCTTTATTTACTAGATTATATTTACTAAATAAACTAAAAGGAGAAGCTCTGAGAGGAATCTTTACTTTGCTTTTAATGATTTGATGCAAATATTGAAATGAATGGAGATTTTATCTTTCTCCCTTCTCCACAAATTAAATTTTGGTTCATTAAAATGAATGCAATTAATGTTGTTTAAAAATTAATAAATTAGTTAAAAGCAAATTAATACGTAAAGCTAATCCTCATATCAAAGGAGAACAGTTGTGATTCTTGCTTGTGTTTTCCTTTGCTCTAGGATTTAATGTAGGCAGCAATTTAAATGTCAGCGTAGCATAGAGGAGTCTTAAAGGAGAAGGGGTCACTCTATGTAACGCTTTATTCTGATGCGTGACACAGAGTAAACCAGATTAGAATCTGAAGATTGGTATCAGGGTCAATGTCTGATGGTTTTTCTGGTTAAAAACCCTGGGAAAGAAACTGTCCTTCTGTGAAACGAAACCAAACGGAGCAGCAGTTGCTGGTTTTCTTTTGCTGGTGTAAAACTTGTGCTATTTTGACAGAAGGAAAGTTGGTCAAGGTTGGAGTGGATGGAAATGCTTTGAGCAACGATTTATTGGCCTCTCTCTGTATTTACAACAGGTGGTTCGTGTTTGACACAGAAACAAAGGACTTGGTCACCGTACACACAGATGGGAACGAGCAGCTGTCTGTGATGCGTTACTCACCAGGTTTGAGAGCCTTGAGTTTAAAAAGAGTGACTTCTTAAATTAAATTTGGGGTTGCTTCGTTTTAAAATCATCCCCCACTTGCCATACTGAAGGTTAAAATAAATATGCCATGAAACATTGCAGCGCTGAACGGGCAGTGTCTTAACTCTGGTTTTCTTTCCCTCCCTCCCACACGGTCGATGTGGTTTTACTGGGAAGAAAAAAACCCAGATATGACCTCAGTGCGCATGTTGTTGCAATCAGTTCAGCCCCAAACGGGCCGTGGCTGCTTCCAGAAGTGTCATGTGTCTCTAGCAGTAATATTTGCTGTGTAAACTTGCTGTTTTGCAATCCTGAAACATGCATCAACATGCAACTGAAAAACACAATTAGAATTTAATAGGTTTTTTTTATTTTTCGCTATCAAAGCCTTTAAGAGCGCTTCCTCTTGTCTGAGAGAAACCAACTTTTCAAAATCGGTCCAAGTGCTTTCTTCTAGGAGTAATGACAGCTCACGTTTGTGTTTGTAGATGGAAACTTCTTGGCAATAGGTTCCCATGACAACTGTATTTATATATATGGCGTAAGTGAAAACGGAAGAAAATACACTAGAATTGGCAAGTGTTCGGTAAGTAACCTCTGCTTTACTTCTGGGTCAGCATTAACAACTTCAGTGTGTTTTGTAGCACTGTTACTGCACATTAGTTCCACACAGGACGCTGGTGTTAGTGCAGTTAATAGAGTATCTTTCTCTTTTAGGGTCATTCCAGCTTCATTACTCATCTGGATTGGTCTGTTAACTCACAATATCTCGTGTCTAATTCAGGAGACTACGAAATCTTGTACTGTGAGTAAGAATTATATTTAGGCCTTTTGTGGAAAGTTCAGGCGGTCTAACACAGATTTAAAATCTAAATGAGACCGTATAAGTGCCAAGACAAGCCATATGTTTTAATTCATCTGCTGCAATCAGAAATCTATATAATTTGAGAATGAAAAAAACTTATCGTGTATTTTGTTTGTTTGTTTTTGCAGGGATCCCCTCTGCTTGTAAACAAGTTGTGAGCGTTGAAACAACCAGAGATATAGAATGGGCCACTTACACCTGTACTTTGGGTTTCCATGTTTTTGGTAGGTATCTTTGGTCCTTGTTGGTAACAAACACTTGGGTTGCCAGCTTTTCCTCCCCAAACGGGACTATTCGTGTTTCAGGGAAAAACACAGAACTTCTGCCATGCCATTTTTATTGCAATCTGTCCTCTTATTTCCATCCAGAAAGGCTCTGATTTAATATTCTTGCTAGCTTCAAGTATAAATATTAAATTACAACATAAGTGGGAGACAAGGAAGAAGTCGCACGCTGCCCTTGCTCTCACACTAGAGCTGCTTCTCGTCATTTTTAATTTAAAGCACCAGTTGGATGGAATTATCATTTATTTAGGCAGCTACTGGGCCAAACCCCCTTCCCAGAACCAGTTTCATTTGCACTGGTTACTGCACAAACACAAGACGGGTGACGGTCTCCATCATTAAGTGGTTATAATGTATTTTGATACAACATACAGCAATTAAATTAGAAGAAGAACGGAACAAAATCAGGATGGTTTGTTGCCATGGGACTTCTCTTCTGCTGCTTTTGGAGGAGCTGCGTTCCCCAGCGTGCTTGGGAGCTTTGTACATCTGCAGAGTGAGACAGATGGGTACAGAACTGAGGATGAGAAGCTTCAGATTCTCCAGTCCTCAAGATAAAATAAGATAAGCCACGGCAGAAGTTCAGAGGAGAGGCTGGTTTAGTGTGAGGGGCAAGCAAGGACGATTTTCACCTGTGCTTCAAGTAGATGCAGTGACGTGTCTGAAGGCAGCCAGAAAGGACAAGGAATAAATACAAGTAGCTGCTAGTTTGGACGACTGTCACAGTTATCATTTTAGTAACGTCATAGAGTGTGAGGATGTCCATCAAATTAATGCAGTTTTGAAGTGAAAGGGCATAAGTTACTCAGAAGGGATATGCAGTGCACGAGGAGAGATCGTGGTGCCGTGGATATTGAGGATTCATAGCTATGCAGTTAGATTACAACGATAATGCATAATAATTATAGATGGGAAAAGAATATTAATGGTGGCAGGGTTATAACATTGCCCATCCTTCCAGGAAGATGAAATGCATGGAATTTTTTAATAGCTGGCAAAATCAGAGGAATCACAGGAATTGCTGAGGATGTGAGATTTAACTGTTCCCGTTTCCTTTGGGAATTGCTGTACAGTGGCCAACCTGCAAGTTCTCAGAATTCTTCTGATATAGGAAATAGATGAGCACATGGGGGAGTTTCTTCCAGATTTGGTTCTGGGGAGTTGGGATCCTCAGTGCGGGAAGGAAAAATGCAACAAAATTAAAATAATGGACTTTAGGGAGGGAACCTGCAAAACTCCAGAGCCTGATAGGGAAGATCTGGAGTTGGAGAAGAGGTGAGATGTGGTTGTGCCTTACATGGTACAAGGGGGACAAACCCTGCCAGCCAAAGACAAGAATGGCAGCAGGACGCAGTATCTGTAAAAACAAGTGGTTAGCATCATCTCGAGACCATCAGGACTTATTTGCAGGATGTCACAAGGAACAGGCAAAGTACTGGAAAAGTGGAGAAGAGTGAATGCAGTAACTGCAGAATCACATCTCTACCTCCAGAGCCCATATGGAGAGGATGAAGTGCAAAGTTAGTGGCTAGAATAATCAATTGAAGAGGCTCATAAATTATAAATTGGAAACCAGAGCAGTAACGGTGGAAGTCACTCTGCTGTTCAGTGCTTTGGGGGCTTGGAGCAGCCGGTATGAACAGTCATCAAATGCTTGCCAAGATTGCCCCACTGGACTTAGAGAAGCAGTTGAATCATCCAAGGACACAAGGCTTCGTGTATCTTGATTCTTCAGTAGCTGCTGGCTCACTGAATATTAGAGATACCTTCTCACTCTGGTAAAACCACATAAAAATCACAAATATCCTGCATAGCACTCGCAGATGAACATAACCAGTGCAAGGGGAAGATGAAGGTTGATCTGTTGAACACCTCTCTTCGAGCACGGGAACGGATGAGTCAGCCTGGAAATGCTTAGAGATGATTCAACCCAAAATCAACAGCATGTGAGGAAGTGTGTTCGAGGGAGCGTATTTTAGTGGTGCAGACACATGTTAATGACTTTAAAACACTGATCTGTGTGCTCTTGCATGTGCTGCTGGGTATGTGACCAAGGCATCAGTTCATATCACATGCCCAGTTTTGGGAAAATGAGTATTTGAGGTGAAGGAACAGAAGAAATCTGAGCTGCTGTGCAAAGCTTGACACTGCAAGCAAAGCAGAGCTGAGATTGGGCTCAGAACTGACTAGAAGACTGTACACTGAATGTGATGTTTGAATGTATTTATTAATAGCATGGATGATAAAGCAACATGTATCATTTGTGGGTGGCACGAAGCTGCAGGATCAGCGAGTTGTCTTGAGAAATACAGGAAGGGCATGAAAAAAGGAGGCAAAGAGGAGGTCACACACTCAAACAGCAGAGCCCGGGTGTACAAACACAGGCGAGAGAGCAGATCTGCGCAGAACAACCACATCAGCTCCTGCATCCAAACTGAACGTGAAGCAAAAGCATGACTCTGCTGCAGGGACGATACCCGGATATATCAGCGGGATGGGTGATGAAAAGGGATGCTGTGCAAAATGGGGATAAATTGCCCATTTATCAGGATCTGCTTCAGTCCCAGCTGGAATCGCTGCGGCTGGTGTCTGCCTGTTGGACCAGCAGATAAAGTGGTGTCTAACGACAATAATTATCCATCTCAGTCTTGTTCTGGAGGAGAGAGGTAATGAACGGATCGTAGAGAAGAGGAGGAGGAATAAAGCATGGCGTTGGTCTTCACGTGAGGGGAAGGAAGCGGGCTCCTGCCGTGTCTGCAGAGGCTGGGAACGAAACCGGACCCGTTTGTCACCAAAGGGGGTTCAGGTTGTGTATTTGGAAAAACTGACACGGAGGCACTGGAATAAATTTTGCAAGAACACAGAGTCTCAAAGAAAAACCCTGATACGATGCGTTTCCACACACATCAGGAGTCAGGGCAGTCCACAAATCCAGACCTTGTGTTTCATTTTATTAGCAGAAGGGAAATAAACTCTTATTTTTCTACATAACCATGTGAAAGTCCCGTTAGGCTCAGACACAAGATCTTAATTCAGCAGAATTCTTTTTTTTTAGAGTGAAAAGCACTTTGCTGACTAGAGGAAATGAAGTATTTGTTTGTGTGCTCAATTTCCTATTGGGATCTGGGCTTTCGCTGGTACTGAAGTGCACAAACTGGCTCAGCTGCAGTTAGTTTTACAGTTTCATCGTTGGTTTTTTTAAAACAATGAATCCTTTATTAATATTTTACCAAAAACTTAAGCTGTCCCTTTTATTGCCGTGATAAAAGCCTTTAATTAGTCCCTCTGTGTTGCAGGTGTATGGCCTGAAGGCTCCGATGGAACAGATATCAACGCTGTCTGTCGATCCCATGGGAGAAAGCTGCTCTCGACAGGGGATGATTTTGGCAAAGTGCATCTCTTCTCATATCCGTGTTCACAGTTTAGGGTAAGGAGCTGCCAAAAAACTTACTCTTGTAACGCGGGCAAATACATTGAGTGTTATTTTCCTATTTAAAACAAATAAGGACAGGACTAGAGACTTACCTAAGATTAATTTAATTTTAATTTCAATTTTAAATTCAAATTTAATTACATTTTAATTTCAATTTCAATTTTAATTTCCATTTTCATTTTAATTTCAATTTTTAATTTCAATTTTAATTTCCATTTTCATTTTATTTTAATTTCTATTTTTAATTTCCATTTTCATTTCTATTTGAATTTTAATTTCAATTTTTAATTTCTATTTGAATTTCCATTTTCATTTTTATTTTTAATTTCCATTTTCATTTCTATTTGAATTTTAATTTCAATTTTATTTTCCATTTTATATTCCATTTTAATTTCGATTTCAATTTTAATTTCCATTTTCGTTTCAGTTTTAATATCCATTTTAATTTCAATTTTAATTTCCATTTTAACTTCAATTTCCATTTTAATTTCAATTTTAATTTAAAATTTGATTTTAAATTTCATTTTAAATTTAATTTAATATTAAAGTACTTTAAGAGAATGACGTGATGCCTTGGTTCCGTTGCCATTTGAATGTTATATTTTAATTACACATCTTTATGACAATTCATTTTCTCACTGCTATGTTTTCTAGGCTCCCAGCCACGTGTACGGTGGCCACAGTAGTCACGTAACCAATGTAGATTTTCTCTGCGAAGACACCCATCTCATCTCCACGGGCGGAAAAGACACGAGTATCATGCAGTGGCGCGTCATTTAGAGGAGCCACCGGCATGAGCGTACGCAGTTGAATCAACCATGCACAGAACTTCTGTATAAACTGTATATTTAAAACTTAACAGTATGGTTGCAGTTTAGCCTGGTCACTGTGATTTCTTTTGTTTAAAAAAAATTCTGACAAACCTCAGGAAAATGAAGCCCTGTGCTGGTTACCTTACTCAGTCTGGTGATTTCATTTGGTTTTCGTTGTGTCACACCTTAAGAATGATCATTTTCTGGTGTCCGATATACAATGCAGTACAAGTTGAATATACGAAACGTGGCTTGACAGTTTGCGATCCAGTGGTAGCAGCGGAATGTGACTATCTATCGTAAATGTTTTCTCTAAACACTGCTAAAACGGTCACAAAAATGCCTTTCAAAGACTGTATATATGTGCTTATTTGTTTCACTATCTACACTTTGTACTGTATATCTACTTAGAAAAATCTATGACAGTGTCGAGGTACCGAATTCGTTCTGGCGGAGGGTGACGAATAGATACAAAAAGTATAAAACCGAGCTCTAAGATGCGAACATCAGTGTTCTAGACCTGCCAGTGTGAACGCTGGTAAATCTGTATCCCCGTCGGTGTCACCCGTGAGGAGCCGAGTTCCCTCCCAAGCCAGCCGGGAGGTTTCACCCCGCTTTGACCCGAATATCTCAGCAGGGTTTACAGACGTCGGTGTGGTTCAGGTATTCCCTATGAGTTTAAATCACAAACCTTTTTACTTGTATATGAACAATTTCTTTTTGAAATCAAGACGAGAAAGCTTGGCCACATCCCCCTTCATCGGTCGATATATTTAACTAATATGTATATTAATCAGCATGATGCTATATTGTACATGTATAAGATTTTAGCAGTTCATAACAAATGGTAAGGCAACCTGGCTTTACTTTTTTATGCTTATGGATATTGTATATTTGTATTTTAAGACCAAGTAGACCAAGTCTAAAAGAGATCTTTTTAAGTGTACCATGAACCTGCAGAGGGTAAAGGAAGTCTCGAAGCCTACATGAGATATTGATGTGTAACTTCTGGCCCCTGTGTTTTGTGCATGGATGGATATTTATAGTATGAACTAAGATTGTGTTTTGCAACGCAGTAATAGTGGAGGTGGTCTAAAATGGTTCGGAAGCCTTATCAACGTTGATTGTGACGCAGATCAAGTGTACTGTTTACCTTGAGGAATGTATCTGAAGAATTTTAAAAGAGAGGAGTTCGGAGCGGGCTCGCAGGAGGTAATATTAAAACGTTGCTTGTAACGGACAGTAAACGTTCACTCTCTGAACTCTAAAGCACTGGTTGTTTAGAGTGATTTAAATTAAATGGAATCAATAAATTTTGGAACTTTTTTTATTACATCTCCAACCTCCTACACTGAAAGTGCAGGACACCAATAAACATGTATTAAAGTGAATTTCCAGTGGCTTCTTCCTGTTTAGTAAAACAGCTTTGCTCAACACGAAACACTTGCTAGAAGAGACAGGCTTTGACTGCATGGCTTCTGGATTAGAGCTGTGTCTGAAAATATTTGGGAAGAAACCCTAGATTTTGGGGTACATGGTTACACATGTGAGCACGACTGGGGATGTGATCCCTGTTCCTCAGTTTCCTCATCTGATTTAGCTGGGTTTGAGCTGCAAAACCCAATCCTCAGAGGTCGTAATGCTCATCTGGTCTGGGTACTTGGTTGGTTATGCCATGATACTTATTAATTTATTAGTTGTTTTTGCTTTTGCAGATGGCTGCTGTCAGGTTTTCTGCGTTCAGAATTGCAGGTGATTTGCCATTGCTTGCAACAGCAAAAGCAGGAGCTGCAAATTATGGTGGCTTGTTCCCTTTTTATCCTTCTCCCCCTTGGGATGCAGTAATGCATTTGTGATACCTTCTTCATTTAAAAATATTACCCCTCACAAGAGGTAGATGAGGAATCCTGGAGTTCCTCCCCAGGGTTGCTGATCCAAGGGGATTTTCAGCAACCCCATCCCATCTGTGCCTCTGCCCCTGCTCTGTTTCAACCCTTTGCAGTTAAATGTGTCTTTGTTCCTCTGTGCAAACCCCATAAACGTATTCGCTGGATTGGCAAAGGGTGGGTGACGTCTTCAGCCAAAAACCCCTTTGGTGGCCGTTAAAGGGATTCTTCTTTCCCCACCCAGGAAACTCCTCACAATTTCACCATTGTTACACATAATCTTCAGCTCTCCCCACTTCCACCCCCGTTCCTTGGATCTTGTGTTTATTTGCTTTCTCAGGAGTGTCCTCTTCTTTGCTTTACAAGAAAAAGCAGGGGGGAAAAAAAGGGGATATTCCTGAACTTCACATGTTTTAGTCCCTCATCCACCATAGCCCTCACCTGCACGTTCTTGGACTTGAACGTACCAATACGAATGACTTTGAGTCTGTTTTCAGCCCCTTCCTCCTCCTGTGTGTGTACTGGGGCTGTGAGCTCTGGGCAGCCCTGTCATATATGTCACATACTTAGGTTTTAAAATATTTTAGGGTAGGGATTTTATTCTCGTTGTATGGGATTTTGTGATCCCACAACAGTACAACTGGTGTATTTGTCCCAAACTGTGAGCGTGTGTATTCAGGTAACACTCCTGTGTCAGGATATTCAAAGCTCCTGAAGTTGATAATATCTATTCTCTGAGTCTTAAATTACTCCCAAACCAGCAGATATTCTTTAAAAGATTTCTTCCTCCCTTTTCTCCGTGTTTATAAAACAAACAGAGACACAATCCGGTTTTTAGGATCGCCACCCATTTTCAAGTAAAGGCTTTTCCTGATTTAGTTTTACATCTATTTCTTTTACTCCTGAAGGACACAGATTTGTGTTATAGCAAAACTGCAGCCTTTTTCAACTTAATTCTCTGTCATTTGAATTACTACCTGAAAAACGATTTACTTAGATACTTACGGTAGTGCCTAGGTTTGGCAGGTGGTTAAAACTGAACAGGTTTTAACAACTTCCAACAGATGAACTCTACAAAAATCAGCCCCTGTATTAAAAAAAAAATAAAGGTGAAGAAAGGAGATAAATGTAGGAGAAAGTAAAGAGCAAGTAAACCCTATCGTTTCAAATGATTTTTAAAAATCCTCTCACAAAGCAAATCATTTTGGTAAAATGGATTTTTTTCCTGCTCTAATTAAGACAAGGTCACATTTCTGATGTGAAATTTGTTCTTCAGAAGAATTAATATTGGAGGATGTCCTTTCCCTTTGAAGTTATCCACGTGACAAGAGCTTGCAAGGGCAAACAGACCCCGGCGCTTGGGGTTTCTCCAGGCTCTGCTCATTTCTGCTGTGTTTTCTCCCCCGTCTCTGGCAGCGGGGCTGGTGATGGATCCCTCGACTGCAGATCCTACAGATGGCAGGGAAATGTCCCTGTCATTACCAGGGAAAGAACAGATCTGGGAGAAGCAGAAATCATCTCCCATCACAGGCAGGGACTCCTGGCTGCACTGCAGCATCTCCTAACCCAAAAGATGGGGGTGAGGACCTGAAACCTGAGGGAAAGGGCAGGATGGTACCCAGGTCTGCTCCTGGGTGGAGGCTGCAGATGAGCGGGGACGTGAGCAGCTCCCGCTCTGTCCAGGGGTGATTTGTGTTTCTCTTTCATCATGCACTTCTGCAGCAACTTCATTTGTTGTAATGAACACACAGCTCTGCCCCCCGGATTCATTCACTAATTGCAGAAGACTCGGTGATCATTTACACGGAGGTGTTGGTGATGGTTCACGCTTTTTGGTGTCTGTGGTGACACCGATGGCCCAGGCTGCCCAGAGAGGTTGTGGAGTCTCCTTCTCTGCAGACACCCAAAGCCCTGGCCGTGTTCCTGTGTGACTGCTCTGGTGACCCTGCTCTGGCAGGGGTTGCACTGGGGGAGCTCCAGAGGCCCCTTCCCACCCCACCACGCTGTGATTTGGTGGTTAAAGGCTGCCTCTTCGGGTCCACTCTGAGGTGCTGAGGTTGTAACCATGAGAAAAGTCATTTGTGTTCTGGGTCTCCATGCAAGCAGACAGATTTTTAGCAGGAGCTCTGAGAGATGAACATTTTTAAAGCCTGACCCGTGGATTTACCCAGCATAAGCACATAGCCAGAGGGAAGCAAATTCATCTGCTCCGGCTGTCAGCGCTACGTGAGCTGCGTTTGCTGCAGATTCCAGGTTGCAGGCTGAGAAGTCTCCTCCAGGCTCCTCAGTCTTTATGGTTAGAAAGCAGGACTTCAAAAGGCTGGATGAGACCTGCAGCCGCGTTGGATTACGGGGATTTGTCGCTGCCTCGTGGCACAGGGCCGTGCCGAAGGGGGCACTGCAGGAGGCAGCCTGCAGAAAACGCCTCTTTGCAAAATCAGCTCACTCTGCATTCGGTTTCTCATTAAGATAAATGTGAACATTTTAAGGCTTCTTCCTTCCCGCCCAGCTTCTCCTTTTCAGCAGCTTTCACTGACATCATCATTCCGAATTTACGACGTCGGTGCGTAACCGCAAGGGGAGGTTATTCTGCCAGAGGTGCAGGCGTTTTGGCCTCTGTACAGCACCTAGAAAAGAGCAGAAGCTGAGCTCAGAGGGGCTCCATGTACGGCTCGAGCAGTTGGAGCTGACAGGAGGCTCGGGTGAAGTGAAAAGCCCTCTGGCATTTCCCGTCTGCGCGGCTCCCGTTCACAGCAGATCCGGCCACACGCGGTTTGGCAGCCTGCAGAGCCCCGGCTATCTCTGACTTCATCATCTTTTGGACGGGTTTTGGGTGAGAGCGTTGCTGCTTCTGTGACCCTGTCATGACGAGCCTAAAACGCTCAAACCCGATCTTGCAAGAGCAGGACAAGGGGGTTTTAATAATGATAAAACAAATGAAGCAGCTCCTCACCTGACCTGGTACAGCCTTGTCTGCAAGAGGCGGCGACGATGCGGCTTGTCCTCTGGTTATCCCCTGGTGTGGGATATGCCTGATTAAAACAGGCTTTGGAAATGCTTGGATGGGGCTGAAGCGTAAGCTGAGGCCATATTTCTTCGAAGAATAAATGTATTTGTTACAAGGAAAACTGCAATCATCAGGCGTGTTTGTATTTCCC